TTGCAACTCTGCAGTTGACTGGCGTTTCAATTACATTCAGCAGCCGGCGAAATCTTGAGACAAGTTCCGATTACGAACTTTTGCAGCCAACCTCAGATTCTCAACAGACTGCGCAACCGTCATTACCCTAGGCGTCGACGAGAGGGTGTAACACTCGATATTGTTAATCTATGGCTCAGTTCTACAAGAGACTTAGCCAAAATCCTCAAACGACATATTCTATCAGATATTTTTTTTCTATATTTGATAATCGCTGGTTTAGCCTTTAAAGCAAGGAAAAATCAAGAATGGCATTAAGGGGCGTTTATTTTGAAGATGGTGTTCCTACATTTCGTCTCAGTCAATTCGCCATTACCTGTTACGCGCTGTAATACGGATTCTGTGATGACCGACGATAGTTGAATAGTTATAGCGTTTTCAAACCCAAGGCCGATTTCTTCACATTACAACACGGCGAGAAATTTTTTAATCAAACCCCTCAAAAGTAAGAAAATTCCCTATTTACTGACTCCATTCTTCATTTTTATGATTTTCTTCCTACAGACGAAAATGTTCACTCAACATTTTCTATCATGAATTTACTCATGATTATTATTAGACACTCCATCTATGAGTAACTACATACCGAATATCACACCGTTCATAAAAAATTAGGGTTCAAGTTACATATGTTAAAAGTCATATTCAACAAATTTACTGAAAACAGATTTTCTTTTCCATACAGGAAAAATATTAAAATGTGAGAAATACTAAGTATTTGGAATCATTCACGGTTCTCTTCAAACAAAAAATGATCATAATAACATGAACGTAAGCATAATAACGAGAATCCAATTGGAAACGACTAGACAAACAATAAAACAGAGTACGAGATCAAGGATAAGAAGAAAACAACACCGGACTGAACTAATACAAGGATAATAAATAAACGAATCAAACAGAGACATTCGCACTGGAGCGAACTGTTATGCATATTGATTCATGGTTAGATCAACATTCCATGAATCAGATATTCACCCTCGTCCGCGTTAAGGAGCCTGCCCTTTCGCAGTCGTCGTCTACCTTGTCGCATACGGCAACCGACATAGATGAGAAGGACGGAAGTCAGCGCCACAACGACGCCCATAAGCGTTGCAATGATCTGCATGTGCACAGGTCGATGAGTGACGGGTATCAGGGGCATCTGTGCTGTGACAACTGATAAACCATGACCAGTGGTCTGCAAGCTCTGGCTAATCGATTCGCCGTCGTTCAGCCAATGATCTCTGACGGAATCATCTAGTAAAAGAAAAGCCAATGCTGACAAGGCAGAATTTACAAAGAGTAAAACTGAAATGTTTAAGAAAATAAAATTTAAAACAAACTTTCGTTTAAGGAGTTTGCCAACTGATCAAAACTCGCTGTCATCGCCTGGAACAAGCAACCAACGCTGAGCACGAATAAAGCATTCAGTAGTGGAGAAACTGACTGAGAGTTAACTGCCGCAAAAACGGCAGTGAAGATTTTAAACCGTAAAAACATCAACGCCGATCACAGATACGCCCATATGTCATCATTAAGGTTAGCGCTATGGCACGGTGTGCCTCAGAGATATAATGGCTTAAAACATTTCATCTGCATTAGACCCTGTCATAAATAACTGAATGTCGAGTCGAATGATGTTTACTGTTCCAGTAACAGACCAGTCTGCATTTCAGTGAACGTAACTTATCTAACTCACTTACTTACCCTGCCATTTCTTCCTTCTAATATCTTGTTCCCTTTCTTTTATATTTTATTTTGCCTATGTCTCTACGATCCCCAATCAGTTAGGTCGTTCGAACATACTGCTTCTACTATTATTATAACTTCCTTCATTTTTATCACAAGGGAATAGCCTACTTCTCATAAGTATTGATAATGGAATTCGACGTTAGTCAAAAATCCCACTATGCTAATTAGGAAACTGCCTCAGACTTTCACCAATTCCTCTAATGTTAATAGATACATGAGGATCCTTCGACCAGTAGCCAGCAATCGCAGAGATTGCATCGGTCACAAAACTTCCTATACTTCGTCTTCTCACGTTCGCTACAATGTTGTTCGTGCGTAAGGTGTGAAATCGTATCACATTTTTAGGTGACCAATAGATTTTAACGATCCTGTGAGTACTGCTCAACGAGAGTGAGCCTCCTCATCAGGAGGCCAGTGGCCCCATCTGGTTCGCTGTCTGAATTCTGCAATGAGGACTGCAAAGAAATATCATCGCTATTCTTTTCATGGTGCAATCAGAAACAGACAACTGATGTGCCTCTCCTTTCATCCGCGACAGTGCTTCGCAACCGCACAGTACTACAGGCAAAATAGTTGAAGGAACAGGCTACCGTTGCTCTGTTGATCTCTTCGAGTAGATTGTCTTTGATAGAGTTTAACAAGCGCCGAACTGCCTCCCTGATGCGTGAGTATTCAACCTTCCCCTCGTGAGGCATGCTACGTTCCTAGACCAAATTCACGTAGCTTTCAAAAAATTTTACAAGCTATTCCTTATAAGCTGTTATGTGGACCTGGTCTAGGACAAGACATTGGATGTACACCGTCTTTGACCAATCGATAATGATACATAAAATGGCATTACTTCATGATCAGAATACAACAGAAGGGCGAACAAATCTGGAGCGGTTTAACTACAGGCATTTTACTTCCACGAACTGAAATTAAATTGTGTGATCAAATCATAAGCGGATCATCTTTGGCT